TTATTACTATTGTTACTAATTTTGCGATTACTAATCTTCACCGTATTTATCTGTAACAGTATTACGATCTTAGAACATGAACTAAAATTCTGGATCATGTGAATATAAATCAGTTATCAATTTACGAATATTTATAGTCCTGTCGTGATACAGAATGAGGATGATAAAATAATTAATAAAAAAAGATTAGGAGATTAAAGCGAATGATTTCTGAAATTCAACTTGTATTCTCTTCTGTTTTTCTTACGTACGTCTATCATTTACGATAAAAACGTTTCGGATAAGATATTTTTAGAAAAGCGAATAACGTATGCGCTAACGTAATTCGATTACGATGAAAAAATTCCAGCGTTAACAAATTCCTAAAAATTATCGCGTTTATGTAACTGCAAATTAACTACGATGATTACGAAACGGCTACAATTACTTTAATTACTCTGGTTCGTAAATCAGAATCAGCTGCTATAATGAACGTTCGAACGTTTATCTTACACCCGCCACATAAACAAAGCGCAATTACCCAAATTATAGTCGGATTATTGTAAGAGAATTAATCGGACATGTGAATTTGCTTCACAATGTCCATAAAGATTTTGTCAATTCGCGTGGGAAGAATTATCGACGTTAAGTAGCGGAAACTCGGCCGAAGCGAGTCGACTAGCGCAAATGATCATTAAATTTGCAAAGTATCGAAAATTGAGGTAGAATCACACGCAGGAGCCAAGCTTCGAAAATTCCAAAGCTTCGAAGCGAGCCCCAATTCACGCGAAACGCGATAAGAGAGATTAAATTTGCGAAATTTACGAATCAACGTAAAAATGGAAGGAGTGGCGAATTTTTGAAAATCGGTCCGAGACGAGGCGATCGGCGTAACGATGTTAAATTTTCGAGACTTGAAAATTGGCATGGAAACGAACACGAAACCGAGTTTCGGAAATTCGAACCGACTGTGTAGCACGAAAGAATTAAATTTTCAAAGTTTAGAAATTGACGCGAAATTTGGCAAATTCATGAAAATTCACCAGGTGAACTTAAAGTTCGGTCGATAACGTGGATATTGTTTCTCTTTGGCGTTGCCAGGAATTTTCGGTAATTGCAGATAACGAGATCGTGGAACCACGTGTATGGGCATTATTTTGTATGGTTCTAATTTCCACGGGTATAGATATTTTCATCGGGACGGATCGATAGCGATGCCGAAGAGCCACATCAATCACCGTGCACTCTTCCGATGAACGTGCACTCTGATTACTTTGCCGGCATTTACGGACTAGAAGAGCGGATTCGCGGACCAGAGGGCAAAAATACAAGTAACCGCGTGTTTCGGTGGAAAAAACGCGCTCCTTTTCTTTTTTCCGAAGTCCATTCGACGCTGTAATATCATCTAGAAACGTATATGCGAAGAGATTCGTGATTAACTGTGAGGTTATGTTCGCGTGCACTTAACGATCTTTTGGTTTGAAACTCCCTGTATAGAAGTATCGAGAATTAGCAGTAAGTTGGTAAAGACTACAATTTAAAATGCAAAGAAGTGGAAAGAAAGCGTTGGATTGATCGAGCTTGGAAGATGTAGATTTAGTTACTTTGAAACGCTCTGTAGTTTTTAACGATTATTTTTAGTATTTTCTTTCGTCGCTTTCCACAAACTTCGAAAATTCTGTTTAACGTTTCTTTTCGCGAGTTTGTGAATTGTCGGAACAACTTGTATATCGCAGAAAATATTACGTGAAAGGAATTGGTAACATAAATTTTGAAATATTCTGTAGTCAAGTGATAATAATTCCCGATATCAATAGCAGCCAATGATGATGTTATGTAGGGGTTCTGCGTACATAAAAGATAACTAAGTAGCATTTCTTAACGCGTAAACAGTTTATTAATAAATCTACATATAGAAAATTCGGTATTTCAAAACAAATTGTTGGAAACAGTTGGAAATTTCTGAAATTTCTTTTTCGATCGAAATCACACACAGTGGTGTTAATCGTTCATGACATTTTTTAAATAACGTAGACTCCTTTTAACGTAGAAACAACCATTAACGCTGGAATAACAATCTATAACCTTAAGTATATTATACTGTATTTACATAATATACGATATTTATTAGTATTATTTTGCACTTTCTAACCTCAGAGTGTTTGGGTTACCCCGTTTCATTTCTTCTGCGGGCCGCCATTGTTCGATATCATATTTCCTAACCTCTAAAACGAGTACTTCCATAAAGAAATTAATTAATAATAATTACTCTAGAAAACTTCCTTGTCTAAATTTATTTGCAATTTGTACAATTAAACATCCGAAATCCTCGCTTGTCAAATTCCTAACCTCCAAGATAAAATCTTCCACGGCAGAGGTTGATACTACTGCGGAAAACTCATTTATTCGAATCTAATTAGCTCTAATTAAAGCAGAAACTGTGAAGAGCCCTGTATTAACGTAACGGAAGTGTTTGATATTGCGGTTTCAATTGCGTTACGAAACTCGCACAACTAAAGGAACAACTTCGGTAGACGGTGCTGAGTGATGTTTTACGCGACTCGATCTTCCCGGGTCTGACGTTATCTCTGTAAACGCGAGTGTACGACCTGCTTGCGTGTGGCAAGGTGACGTCCTGATTTACGATCGATCCTCGTCTCGATCTATCGTTGCACGAGTGTAATTCCTGAGTAACGTGCAAACTGTGCTCCGTCATTGAAATTCTACACTCTTTCGACGTGCACCAGCCAGTAAAAACAAATTTACGATCAATTCTAAGAAATTTCAAGGGAAATCGTATCTGGCCATCATCTTGATTCCAATACGTATCATAAACGATACAAACAGTGACATACTACGTCGTTGCTTTTTTTTTCTTTGCGACGATATCGGTTTACGGAATATTATTCGTAAAAAAATTCGTCAAAAAGGTTCGTATTACTCGTTAGACTGTCGATACAAAAACGTGGACGGACGAGAGGATCTTTCGAGGCCCGTAAAAGCTACTACGGTTCCGTCGAACACATCAAAAAGATCTATCGGAAGTAGGCAGAAACAGCGGCGTCAATTGAGTACAGGATAAAATACGAAGGTGTTTCAAAAACAAAGTCCCATTCGCCGGAAGGTTAACGCACATAGATAAGTTCAGCCGTCGTTTCATCGTTTTATTAGAAACGATAAAGAGTACTGAAAATATGGAAAATAATGATCTTCGACGCAGAATAAAATTCAAAAGGCGTTTCAAAATACAAGTCCCGCCGATAAAAGATTAATATCCGTATATTTGACTGAAAAAACGTTTCGTAGTTTTACTAAAAATAGTTAAATCGATGGTATCCTTTCTTTTCTATCTTCTATGTATATATACGAAGATAATGCATAAAATCCACCTACAGAGCGTTTCAAAAAAAAAAAAAAAAAAAAAGAGAGAGAAAAGAGAAATATCCACGTAAATGTACACAAGGACGTTTTACCATAGATATTGAACTCTTCCAAAAATACCGATCAAACAGGTGCAATATTTGCGTTTGAATGGCATCGCGCGGTGTAAGTGTATTTACACTGGGCTATCACTCGGCTGAGCCAGTTTCGTGCTGCGTCGTGTATAGTGGCTAATCAACTGTCAACATCATTGTACCAACGTATACGTCGTATTTCGTTGGACGAGACCGACGTAGATAACTATCGTTCAGACTACTTATTTCATCGGTGCAAGTGGTTCCGTGTACGCGTACTGTGTAATATCCACGCAATGGTTTGCAAGTGCGGTAATATACTCGTATATATATACATCGATGATAAAAAAGAAACAAGTTCTTCGTTCATCGTGAAAATCTTCGTCTAGGCCATTTCTCGTTTCTTCGTTTGCTTCATCTCGTTTATATTTTTATACATGTACATTTTATATATTTATATACATCGTGCGTAAATACGTAAACGAGGAAAAGAACGCGTATCGTACGTTAGTGACGACTCTTTCGTAATATACGACGAAACATTCAAGATCGTAAAAATATTACCTGGCGACAAATGTTTCGGATAAAACTCGAAGAATATCGAAAGAGAGAATTTTTAAGAGAAATTAGAAGATCAAGAAATTCGGAATTAAAAAATCTTAAAAGTTGAAGAGGTAAAACGCGACGAATATAACGACGTCGTTTGGTAGCTATTCCCGTTTTTCTGCGAAATATCTGTGCTTTGGTGAAAGTGTTCCGTTTTGAGAATACCATGAAAAGCCGAGAAATTTATAATTCACTAGTTTTTGGACCCTCGAACATCTTGTACTGGTTAGACGGAAGAAAAATAGGTTTATTAATATTTCACCTTTATCACCGCCTGTCTCGCTCGTTGAGAGAGCGACCACCACCACGGGAACGTCTCTGTCCTTGTCGACACCTGTCGAGACTCGAGTCTCGAGAACACCATTACGAACGCTCGTTTGGCGTGTTTTCTATACATGATAAATGTCGCCGACGTCGTGGAAAATGTCTGTCACGAGTCTGACGAGTGGAACGAGAAGAAACATTTTCATAGAATGAAAAGTTACCGAGGCTGACGTATATCTCGATTACGAGTTCTACTCAAATTTATTTAAAGATTCTAATTAATCAGATCGCTGAATTTCGATTTGAAAATTGCTTTCCTAGAGTTTTTTGGGGGATATTTTACGGGATGCTTTATGATAAAATTTATTGAAAACATGTAGGTCCATGTATGGACAAGGAAATGAAACCACCTGTAGCTATTAAGGTAACAAGTTTCGCGTCAAAGTAAAAATATTTCCTCGAGGTTACAGCATCTTCATTAACATTCTGGTTAAACAAGAGAATGAAAATCCATGCCGTGGATAATAAAATGAAACTACCTGTAGCTATTAAGCTAAAAAGTTTCGTGTCAAAGTGAAAATATTTCCTCCAGTATTTTCATTAACATTCTAGTTAAATAAGAGAATTGACAAAATCATTGACGATTGAGATTATCTAAGAAGTTACGGATCGTCTACAGTGTGTTTCATGTTGCAGGTTTTAAGGAGCTGATGCATGGCGAAGGCGCTATGAAGAAAACCGTGTTGATAATTTTGGCCGAGACGATTGGCACCTCTATATTGCTATTCGTTGGCTGCATGGGATGCGTTGGAGGCCTGGGCTCTGAACCCACTCCACTTCAAATTTCTTTAACCTTTGGCCTTGCTGTGATGATTGTGATTCAAGTTGGTATCCATCAATTTTGGCATTTCGATTTCATTTACACATATTTATTCTCTGGTTGATTTTGTTATATCTGATGATCCAAATTATACACTATACTTTGATTCTTATTTTATATATCTATCACACTGTACAACTACACTATGTATCTTAAAACAGTCTATTCATAACGTATGTTAGCTCTCGTCTTTTGGATCAAAGTTAGAATTTCTATTATCATAAAGGAATAAATTTCTAGACAAGACTCAAATTTGAATTAATCGTAGTAGAAATACAAATAGGTTCCTAAATGTCTATATGAACCGACTATTCGTGGCTATTGAATAATTCGAAGCTAAGATTCGTTTGGTCCTTTCAGTCTATTGGCCACATCAGCGATGCTCACATTAACCCTGCCATCACGGTGGGATCGGTAGTGCTCGGGAAGAAGACTATTCCCGAGGGATTGGTGTACCTGTTGTCCCAGATAGTCGGCGGAATCCTGGGGTTCGGCATGCTGAAGGTTCGTACTTTCGTAATTCATTCACAACTTTGGTCATCCTCTATTTATATTGATCGTACACCGAAACGGATAAACTGCGATGTTGAATTCTTTAAGGTCGCGCTTTTAACAGGATAACTTGAAAAATTCGTCCTCTAAAAAGCTATTGGTACTTTTCTCTAATTAAATTTTATGGGTACACGTACTTTCTGAAATATTTTAGGCTGATCAAGTTCGTGTTACGTTGTAAAATGAAACGACCTGTACCTGTTTCGAGGCAGAATATTTTCTCATCGTAACAGGCAATTCTGCAAGAGCAAATTTGGAGAATATGTGGACTTTTTACTCGTTGTAGTGTGCAAGCTGATAAACCAGCCACTTGGCACATCAATCTTAAGCTTCAAGATTGCTCACAAGATAGATATCGCTTAATAATAACATAATAATACATCGAATATTATTATCATGCGTGGATCAGTCTGTAAATCTTTGAAAAATACGTGAAACGTACAAGAGAATGATTTTAACGCGATTTCGAAAAGAGGCCAGTATATAATCGCAACCTCGACATGTATCCGTTTATCGAGTTCAAGACCTTCTGTTACATTCATTTATGGAACGATAACTAGTCATGATATCACGCTATCTGTATAGACCGTGGTCAAGCTCTATTTGAAAACGAATACCTGTGATAACAACGCTTGCAAACGTTTTTTCTTATCTAGGTTGTGTATTCGTTAACTTTTGTTTGATTCTTTTTGAATACAATCAATCAGGTAGATTTATAGAATTAAGCATTATGTTAATCCGAATCAATTTCAACCATTGCATTAATCTTAGATTAATCCTAGACTCGAATTGTTTATAATAGCAATATCAATCATAACCATTTCATTGATCTTCAGCAATCCAAACTGGGATTGAATCATCCACCATGTCCATTCTAACCAACTCCAATAGGTACTATATCGACTCAAGTGAATTCCAACCAATGCATCAACCTTCCATTAATTTTCACACATTGCCAAAGCGCTAGAACCGAATAGTTCATCGCATCAATATCAAACAGTCAGGACTATTTGAGTAATCTTCAACAATCCAGACTGGAACTGAATCATGTACAATATCAATTCTAACAAAATCCAGTATATAGTATATCAACTCAAGTCAATTCCAACCAATGCATCAACCTTCAATTAATCCTTTCGCATTGCCAAAGCATTAAAATTGAATAATTCATCACACCAATATCAATCAACCCTGACCAGCTGCAACTATTCATTATTCTTCAAGTAATCTTGCCACGCATTATCAAAACTAATCCTAACTCCTAACCTAACCTACTAACTGATCCTAACCATATCACGTTCCTTATTACCAATTCATTCTTTCTGATCTTAACCAATCCTGTATTAATCTCCCATTTCCATGAAAACCTCGATGTACCGGAACTGGCGTTGCAGGTGGTGACGCCGGCAGGTAACCTGACGAGCAAGACCCTCAGCGAGGCGGACATGTTTTGCGTGACCGATCTACACTCGGAGCTATCTGCGATCCAGGGCCTGTTGCTCGAGGGCATTTCCACCGCTATACTGATGCTGGTCGCGTGCGCCGTCTGGGACAGTAGAAACGTGAAAAACACCGACTCGGTGCCAATCAGATTCGGTCTGACGGTCGCTGCTCTTGCGCTCGCGTTCGGACCTTACACAGGCTGCAGCATGAACCCGGCCAGGTCATTGGCACCAGCGCTCTGGAACAATCAGTGGTCACATCACTGGATCTACTGGTTCGGCCCCATTGGTGGCGCCCTTTTATCGTCCTTCATGTACAAAACTATCTTCGGCGTGAAGAACCACACGGAGGATGAGTGCTCCGCTGAAGCTGTCGCGCTGAACAGCGTCAACATTCAGAAGACGGAGGTATGATCTTTACGTTCGTGTTACATAAGTATTTTTTCATTTTTTCAGCTATTCAAGGTCCGTCTTTTTTCTCTCTAATTCCTTCTTTAACTCTTTGTAAGCTGCTATATAATCTATCGTACGCTATTTTTGTATCTTTTCCATTTTTGAATTTTTCTTTTATCTTTAATTTAAGCCGATCAGAGTCCATTTTAGATGGAAGATCCTCTTTTCGATTCCTTGTAGACTTGGTACATTAGTATCAGCTCATGGTGCGTCATTCATTTTTCAATATTTCCAGCTGACCGCCGTGTACTTTTCTAAATATTCTACTTCTAGCTATTTACAGGCTTCGTATCAAAGTCTACTTTGTTAAGAATTCTCTTTTTCATTCTGTGTACACTTGGTACACAGTGCGGTACTATCTGTCGCTCAATTTTATCAGCATTCGTGCCACTGAAAATATTTAACTCTTCGTACACTTGGTAAGCTCGTTCACCTTCTGCTCTGGCATCTATCTTCTAATATTTCCAGCTGATCGCAGTTCCTTACAATGAACATTTTCTCTTTAATTCCTCTCACACGTTACATTATGTACGTATCTTTCGTCCCTTTTATATAACACATACAATTTTATATTTTATAAATGAAAAGAACTGATCCTATATCTTCGACTTATTTTTTCACGTACAATCATATCCTTCTCACTTATACTATGAATAACGGGACACCGTGTATAACACGTATAACATATGCAAGAAAGTTCGCAATGCTAAGTGTTGAGATACCTTCATGAACTGTTGTAAGTAACCCCGCAGTCTGGTGACGACAGACGTCAGTCTCTGGATTCCTCCTCCGAAAGCCATTAGGCTGCAACTAGGACAGTTTGCAGGAAAGTGACTTAAACCTGATTCAGAATATTCTTGCGGCAGCGTGGCGCACAGGATAAGAAGTTAAACGATACGTCGTCCGAAGAACGGCTTTGCCCAGATCCACGGTTAGGGTTCCCATCGACGGTAAACCGAGAACGTTAAATCTCACCGCGTCGTAAAACCAGTTTCACCAAACTTCCTCGCCAACGACGATTTATCGCCGACCTTTACGGCCAGCCCTTACAAGATAATCCGCATCGCGAAAAATCTCCATGCACGGCATGCATCGCGTTTACATGACGTACATAGTCAGCTAAACTTACGAGCTTCTGCTCGAAATTTCTTTCATTCGTCGCGATGCTTCCCTTTTAGAATTTCTCTTTTTTTTGATTGAATTACTGACTAGTCATCTGACTGAGGTAGTAGGACGATGTGAAAAGAGAACTAATAAAATCAAGTATCAACGTTGGACTCACCACTTCGATTTATTACGAAGATTCTTCGAGCTTTCTGAGAACTTCGATATCAGAAAATCCAACGCGCGTCCTAGTACGTTCGTGAAGAGTTTGAAGATATTTTTGGTAATCTGAACTCTGGACGATCGGGAAGATTAAAGAATAAGCGAAAAGACTAAACATCTGCAAGGAAAGGGATTGAGAGGTTCACGTAATTCTGAGTACCCTGACTTCGGTAAAGAGAAACACATTTCTGTCCTCTGATACGAGATGATCCAAGAAATCGTTTGATGGAACAGGTCTACAGAGTTGACGCGTCAGTTCTAACATCTTGCTGATTTCAATTTACACAAAAAATAGTTTGATCCTCCGTGTTGAATTTAGATTGAAATTGCAAATAGGCAGGACATTTTCTAAAATACTACAAGGAAATTCTAAAAATCTTAATCGGTGCCTAAAAATAGAAAGGGTATGTTCTCTGAAGCGTTATTTAAAGTGCTATCACAGGTTAGCATTATCTTCGGTCAACTTCACAAGTCGATATATGTACATAAACGTAACTTAATCTCTTGCTCAAATATCACTTGAAATAAAAGTTTATCCATCTCGATACAATTCTTCCGTCGGTAGCACCAACGAGCTATCGCGAACAATCAAAGAATTATCGAATCTTATCAAGAGATTAGGAAAACCAACTAAAGAATTAAAGCAACCGAAGCTGTGTAGTAATTTGCTTCGCCTATTAAAGATAGTGACGAGTATCCCACTTTGCAGTATTTTACATATTTTACGTATATCGTGTACATTCTGCTGACTTTTGTATTTTTAAATTTATGATAAATCTGAAGGCACAAACGTGGCATCACGGTGTGATACAAACAAAGCAAAGATATATAAATAAAAACTGTACGTAAAAAAAAAAAAATAAAATATGGTACTATAGTTATTATATGTAGCAAATAAAACAACTGGCACAATCCATTCTTCGAACGATATGTAGAACAATATAAATTTTTATAAAAATCTGCGTTCTATCGGGCAATGATCTATCAAGATTGATCGATTTGTTTTCTCTTTCTAGCCGTGATACAAAACTGAAGAGGGCCAATCGGAAACGTCGAGGGTACGGATCGATCGGCACCATCTTCAAGAAACCACGAGAGATTAAGCGTTCAATGGAGGATTCGAATGGATCGAACGGATCTACCGGATCGTACATCGCGCCATCTAGGATCTTTTGTACCTCCGTTTTTCTCGATCGTATAGAGTTCGAACGATCCAGGAAATCGCAAGACTGCTCATCAGAGAGATAGATCATCCGTTGCCTGCGAAGTATTGTTCACACGCGGCAACGTTATCCTGTTAGGGAAACGATATACAGCGTATAGGTTATGTGCATCCCGGGAACGACGCTATTCCGCCATTTTACGATTCGATGATCCACCGTGTACAATATGGTGGCTGTTAGATCGGAACCGATGCCGGGAACACGCATCTCGTTGTTGTTGTCTTTTTCATTTTTTTTCTTTCGAATACTCCGTTAGTATGTGTTTTGCGCAACATAACCGTGTTGCTTGCTGCTTCATAGGCGATTTCAATTCGCTATTTGTCGTTGTACATAATTGTTATATTTTTTATAGATGTATTTACTCGTGACGATGGAAAAATATAATCGGATAAAAGTGAGCTTGCAATTTATTCATCAACCCTTCCTCATTACCTTTTGCTTGAGAGAAATCCGTTTCTTTCTTCCGCATCTTCGGAGAATTGTCGAATAAGAATATATATATATATATTTAGGAAATTTTGAATAAAAATGTTAAAATCTCCTGTAGTACCGAGAACCGTGACGCAGCGGTGTATTGACGGTAGCCTGTCTTCAGGCGCCAGGCGAGCGTAGAAATAAAAAGTCTAGCTCTTATAATTGGTCTCTTTTATTAATGATATAACAGGCTTTTTAATTATAATCTGAGATTCTAAGATACAGAGCTTTGGAAACATTGCACGAAAAGTTATTTACAGAGACAATTAGCCGACGATCGACCTGGAAAATTTCTCTCCGTCACTCATTACGACCATGAGGCTCCGTTCGGAAACGAAGCACACAAATCACGTTATATATGAAACAAGTTCGATAGAATGAATTCATCGGCGGCGATGACTGTTCGATAAAACCTGTACCGTTTGAAACAAACAGAAAAAATCAGGAATTATTTTTGAAATACGATAACCAACGATTGATCGTTAACTAATTTATTCATAAGACCAAAATTATATCTGCAAAGGTATTTACTGGAAGTAATAATTAGAAGCCATAATTTGTAGCCACCGAGCCATAATTAACTAATCAATCGTAATCTCAAGTCATCCAACCGCGTAATAACCATAGACTGTAATAACAAAATATAAAAACTGACTGGCTAATTAGCCTGTTCATAAAACAACCGGAAACATTAATCGTTCTTAATCTCAAGCTCCGTAGGTAAAAATAAAAGAATCTTCAAGTCTCAACTTAATACTAGTAATAAACTTAATAACAAATGTTAAACTATCCAATAATAAAATTAATGATAATAAATTTAATAACTGACAAGTCCCGTTGGAGAAAGTCAATCTTATTTCGAATTATTTTATCCGCAAAGCCAAAGTCAGTCTCGACGACTAATCAATCCTAACACAAATTTCCATAACTCAGGGCCGCTATTCACTCGAGAGAATTTTGAAATCTTCATTTATAAACAGTCATCGTTCGTTATTCAATTAGCATAAAATTACGGTTCGAGTGAATAGCCAGACGGAGCGAAGGGATCTCTACGGGGTTGGTTTCCCATGGGCGACGTAGCTTGTTACAACGGAGTCAGAAAATTAGACGAGGACCCGGCAAAGAAACAAATGTGTTTCCGCGTAAGAAAATGGGAAAACTACATCAGGCTGTTGGCGAACAGAGCGAAGTAACGTTTTCCTATGATTTACATAGCAAGCGTCGACTCAATAATTCAACTTTCAATCTGTTCCTTAATGCTCGCCTCCCTTTTCTTCACCGTTTCTTATTTCTCACGATTCCTTCGCAGACACGTACACCTGCATGCGATATAATGACCGTCTAAGACGAAAATAATTACAGCGAGCAGTGAAGCAAATATTTGTCGGCTCAAATTTCTCGACGCGACGCGCGATAAAAAACTATGGCTCGCGGTCTCCATCTATAGTTCCAAGAATTTCATGCCGGATACACGCCAATATCGCGATTGACGTATTTAAGGCTATTTGTCGACGAGTCCTTTGCACGTTCTACAGTTTTTTTCGTGCAGTTCGAATCCTGATCTTTGAAAGCTGCTATGAGTGAAGTTTTATTTTTTGCAACGGCAAGCTTTTACCTCTCATCTGTATTAAGCATATTTCTTCGACTTTATCGATTCTACTGTACGCGACTGAAACGTTACACATCGTTCCTTAACATCGAAATGATTTCCTTCGATGACAGCTTCCGAGGGCTAAAATACGACAAGAAGGTGCTTCGATATATTTGAACTTTTGTTAATCACTTGCCGTGCAATTGTTTTCCCGGCTATATCATTGTCAGGTTTCTGATATTTTAATCATTATTCTATATACACAATATGCATTAATTATTATTTTTGTACACATTACATTCAATCATCGTAACATTACATTGCTATATTAACATATTCTTTTGTGTTTGCAAACTGTAGGATTGATGTATTACGTGGAAATTACATTAATAATTCATAGTGCAGCAATCCGGAATTAAAACCCAAACTAAACTTCCACGCAAATATTAGTCCTATTGGTTGTATCAATTGTACAGTATATTTTGCCATCTCTGGAATATATTTTATGAACCACTCTGTATATATTAGTCGGCCAGCTACATAGTACAGAAACTATACATTAAACACGATATATATCTTACATTTTCCTCTTCAATTTTCCTTTACATTTATACGATAATTATTAACATGAAATAATTAAAGTGTTCATCGCATATATCGCATACATTTGCACGGATAGTTTTACATTGATGTAAATTATGTGATTTTTATACAGTGGACGATCGGTTTAAATTTAAACGGTTGGGCATTGATTTATAGGAATGTATAGGGTGATTCGGAGAAGAGTTATGGTGGCCATAAAGACAGATAAAAGCGAACCCCGTTTTGTTTGCGAGGCAACGTTTGCGCCTCCATTAATATCCTCGTTTACTTAACGTTATCAGTCTTGATTGTGTCATCTTAACGTATGTGCGATCCCGTAATTCCGTTACCTACCTGTGTCAATATGTCATTTCCCCGTGGAACCGATAGACAACCATGTCGTATACAAACATTCGGCATCTTATCTCCCCTAATTCATCACACATTTTCATTTCGAAATTTATACAGATAACACGTTACAGTTTGTTCGGAACGTCCAATTTCTTTTTCTTTACAGCAATACGTTGAACTGGGCTATTTAAAAATATCATTTTAAAGAGTGTCGCGAACGATTCTAACTACTGTTAATTTCACATTAAGACTAAACCCGAACCTAACGTGAAACTTACGTTGAACATTCGCATTTTTATTTAGAAATACGCCTATTATTTAGGAACACTAACATTATATATTCGTTGCTTTTAACAATCACCTAATATAATTCAATATTGTAAAATTGTGCAATCTTCTTTACTGTACCCTTTAAACTTCTTTTCGTCCACTATTGTGTGTGATTATTAAAGCAACCTGTATAAGGCGTTACCCCGAAGTTAATATTAATAAGAATAAAATCAACAGTAAATTTTCGCGAAAATAATAATCCAACCGATGGTAAATGATAGAAAGATTCGAATCTTCAGTTTTCAACATTGCAATTGCATTTTTCAGATTCGAATCGCTGGAAATAATTCTTTTAAGTTCCAGGAGAAATCGTGATCTAATCGGGAATTCAGGTTACTAACATTTACTATCACCAAAAATGATTCTCTGGTTTCTGAGGAAAAATTCGTGTCGCCAGAAAAAATTGTCTGTTTTATTTTCTTTTTTTTCTGAAACATCCAAATTACGAACAAAAGCGAAACAGCCGACTAATCCTAATCCGATCGAAAGTTCAAACGTACGAATTGCTAAAAATTGAAATACCTGTAAATAATACTCTACTCTTCAACGGCCGAGAGAGAGAGAGAGAGAGAGAGAGAGAGAGAGAGATCGATAACTAATCTGGATCTAACTAAAAGTTAAAAAATTCCAAAAAGCTGGAATAATAGAGAATGACTCTCTTCGGTTTTGGAGGGTCGAACGTGAGCTAAATCGATGACGAGTCTTCCTCTAATTGGCCGTGCGTTCGTACAAAAGGTGAACGGGAGACGAGGACAAAGGGAAATGCGAATGGGACGCGTTCGAACGTCCGTAATCGGAAAGGCTTACAAGCGCGTGTAATTGCCCATTGTGGAGGCAATCTAGCATTTTCCAGGAAAAATATTCGAGTACGGGCCTACTTAGAAAGCGTAACGAACTCGTTCGATATCGATATGCCGCACGCGGAGCCAATTGTACGGAAAATCACGCGACTGCTCTAATTCTTCGACGCCGTGTCGATGTGCTTTTCATACATGGGTGAAAATTTCCTTTCTTTTTTTCCTTCTTTTCATTTTTCCAACACCTGTAGTCTTGTTTCTGTACGTTTACGCGACAGACATGTGCGTTAATTATCAAATCGAAATCCTTCGAATAACGGTACATATATGGATTTACAAATAATTCAACGTTAATAAGTAAAATAGTTAAAGTAATATAATTAGAAAATAGGAATCTTACCGTTGATACGAAAAAGACGATATGTGCTAAAAAAATACGATAAAATGTTGTAATTTTAATATCAATACGGCAACTTTACAGTTAGCAATAAAAACACCGATATTTGATAAAAAATATGATAAAAAAGTAGAATATTGTAATTTTAGTAGCAATAAAAGAACGTTACCGTCGGCACTTAATACAAAAAATTAGCACAAAATACAATGTACGATAAAGAACATATTAAAAATAGAATATTGTCATTTTAATACGAATAAAAAGACCTTATAGTAAAAAACAGCAGTAGTTGTACCAGCGTTGGCAGTAAAAATATAATATTTTAATTAAATATTTATTTGCACGGTTAAAATTGTCCGGCCGAACCTTTTTAGTACATGGCTTAAATGTCATTAAAATATTCCATTTAATACGAATACTACATGAACACTTGGCATTTAAATTTAGTCAAATTCTACATTTACACGTATGAGCATGGGGTTTATTTGAATCTTGGTTTTGAATTACAGCCGTCGTTGTGTTCACGGATTTCCTTAATAAAATTGAGACAATACAGTGAGACTCTACTCGATTATTTACAGTTGATTCAAATTAGAAATTATTCGTGCAATATGATTGGTAGTGATTTGATCAGATGTCTGCGGATCTATATTGGTAGGAAAAATGATCATTGAAAACACTTGGTGTATAGATAACCGCAAACAAGGTGAACGAACTGCAACGAGGCTGTAACTCTTGATCAAGGTTGGCCATGTGATCTGTTTGCATTAATCGTTCTATATATAGCACGAGATAGAAGTTATTATTACCAATTATCCTCCGTCGGATGATTTTTTCTCAAGGTTAGTTTCTTTCTAAGGTCATTACTTTCTTTCTCTTATAAATGTTAAAAACACATTTAAAAAAATAACTATTATATCAATCTTGCATTCTTTTTAATTGAAACGACTAATAATTACAATTTCGCTAACGTGCAAATTTCAACTAAGATTTTATTACGTATAAATCCAAGTCTGTTACCTTTTAGCATACGAATGAAATTTTAACAAAATGGCTGCCAGTTATATCAATTATAGGTATCGTGTACAGAGAAACTAAGCATATACAAGACATAATATACATTTATCAATGTTTCTACACTTTTGAAATTGTTACAATATCATCTTAAATGTATTATATTGCTGTAATAAAATGCTATGATAAAATCTGTAACATCTCGAAATACGTTGATGCAAACGCTTAAAAAAAAATCATCCACCAATACGATTTCCGATATAAAACAAGTGTCTATCGTGCGTGTGAATTAATAATGTACATATAATATATGAATTAATAAAAAACTCACGGATCTCGTAACTCTTTTTATCGGCATTCCAATGAACGTCAGCAGCTTCGTAATTCAAACGAAAATGATTTGTTGCACCTTCGACGCTCACCAGTTGAACGAGTAACGTGCTTTGGCGAGTAAACAAATCCTGGTACAATGGACAAGGTGATCATTATTGACTGCACACACAATACACGTTATTACAACTTATGACACGCCGACATCGCACATTTCAATCTAACGTATCACGTATTTATCGAAAATCAAACTCAAATTACGCTTGATTTCAACGGATTCGTCAAAGAACGCGTAACGTGCGAAACTATTCGTTCGATAATCGAAAGATGCGACGCGAGCGGCGAGGTATCGAATCTCACAGGTATGTACACTACTGTACGTGTTAACTTCGCTAACTTCACCATCTTGTACAATTAATTAATGACATTATTTAAATAATAAACTACCGATTTTTATGCATTTATAAGGAATTTGAAATTGTAAAATTACAAAAATGCACAAAACGCACATAATATGCAAAAATGTACAAAATTTTCAATGTATACTGTATATTATAATATTCGGTGAATGAAATAAATTTCTACTTGCTGTTAAATTCCATTTGTTTCATCAGTTATATAAAAATATGAATTTGCACAAAAATTTGCATATATGGGGAATTTTACAAATTACAAATCACAAGCCAGTATTAATCACAAGCCAGTATTGTCAGTATCAATAACTTCTCTTGCATAACAAACTTGGTAATAAAATAAATAAAATTGTATTTGTTAGTTTTATAACTTACACATCAACTGATTATTCTACTTCATGTGAGAATGTGCAGTTATAAAAAAGAAGTTTATATTCGATAACTTGTAACTTATTAATTGACTAATACTGTTAATTGGTAGAGTATTGTACAAGAGGATCTTATGTAAAATATACAGGTAAGATATTCATAGCTCACTCTCGCTTAAAGGAGTAGAAAGACATACATTGCCCCTAAAATATATTTTCAGACATTCTTAACTTCCAATGAAGCATTTTTTTATTAGCTTCTACATTTCATTTTCATGGTATCAAATTATCGTAGTCGCATCAAAGTAGTATTAAATGATACAAAATTTAATTAGTATATTATTTGTAATATATTGTTATAGTAAATTAATTTCAATACATAGAAATATACTATATAACAAAAGAGATTATCTTACTTTCGTTATTACTGAATAGTAGTGTTAATCTAGATCCAGATCGAATCTAACCTGGACCAACTCAATCTCAACTCCGGTCTTGTAAACTCTAGTACGTATAAAGTGTTGGAAATACATGGAATATTTGGTGAAGGAGGAACTATAGGTGGAGTGAACCGTACCTTTTAGGAATTCTTCGCATAGGATCTCGCTGTAGTCCTTTCAGAATCCTACCTACCGCAGTTACGAGCCGCGTTACTTGCCCCTTCGAACATGGAAAAAGTTTGTACTGCGGTTATGCTTTGTCCACTGCGCAAACTCGACCGGTCGTTTGACTCAGTGGTCGATCTCCCCGGATCCCGCCCGACCCCTCGCCCGCAAGCGCGCGCCGGTAGGCTAACCTGACCGTGAACAGGCGTGACGCTATTAAACGTCCGAGAAAGAAATATTTATCGGAATTTCACGCAATCAACCACTGTAAACTCCATATATGACTCTAACGTGCTATCGAATAACACTGGTCCTCTGATTTCATTGGTTGTAAATAAATACTTTTTTTCTAGAACGGATCGTTCGGAGTTAAAAACAGTTTTAATGTTCCGTTTATTTTTAGAAGAATAACAAAATATAAGAAACGGTAATACGTATTGGTGTAATTTTCGTTAGATTTTCAGAACTAATTTCTGATTGGCTTTTAGATAATTCGTAAAGGGCAAATAGCCAATAGGATTCAATCACGTATCTTATTATTAGTTTTGGCGGTAACCGACGTATGCACTTCTGGTTAGCAGTTTCGAAGTTTCGAATAGTTCTGTACGTGGTACGTTGCATGCAAAAAAGAATGGAAGAGTTTGGTATCTGGAACATGTTCCGTTTTCTTCGAGTGTACTCTTATTATTAAAAAGAAAGTAACGCATGAAAGTATAGTTAACTACAGGTTCGAAGTACGACGAAGTTTTACAGTATTCTGAATGTGTAACCTGTACACCATGAGCATTGGAAAGATGTAAGGAGAGAAACGAAGGTATGTTAAGCTTTGACAATTATATATCGTTCTAATAAACGGTTGTTATATATTATATGTAAATAACTGTAGTACGAGACTGACAAAAACAGCGAGACATTTGAAATGTAAATTGTTATTACATAAATGTTTACGTAATAAATGTCACTTGTCGATAAAATTTCATCCATGCATTTTCAAATCGTACAAAAATTATTCTCGTTAGTGAATTGTTGGTTGGAAGGTTTCAATTTATTCTTTTTATTGGTTTAGTGATATTCTCAAAGAGACATATTTTACTTCTTTTAAAACGTATTACGTATTTTATGAATATAACTAATGCTCAAGTAGCCTTGAAATAGTAAGAATATTATTTCTTCACAAAATTGAAAGTTAATAAAGTTATGCAACAACAAAAGAGAAATGTATCGACTCGAACGATTCTTAGTTTGGTTAAAAATGTTCTATTTTAAAAGATATAATTATCGGTGTTTTTATATTTCTAAGATATAACCAGTCTTGGTCAATTTCGTATTATTACGTCTTAAACGAAGTTTTACGACATTATAACCTGTAAATCTGTAATTAGAAAAATACAAGAAAATAGGTACTGAAAGTATATCGAACTTGAACAATTATTCTAATAAAACAATTAAACTGACTAAATTTCACATTTAAAAATTTTAAAATTACAATCAATGCAATAAATATATAACAAACAATTATACAGTGAAATTAAGTAAACCAAACAAAAATAATTCGAAAGACTTTACAACGACAATTACCAACGAAAATAGTAGATTATGAATTTATAGGAAATTTGAAAATGCAAAAATGCACAGAACGTTCATAATTTACATAAATAAATATGTACGAAGTATAGTACCCTGTGTAGTAAAATCTAATAATTCTCTCTGAAATAAAATCTCTATACCGTGTATAATCTATTTAATAGATAAAGCAATTTTCTATCTAGGTTCCATTTCCTTAGTCATATTTATAAAAATACGAATTTTCATAAACATCTCTAGTCTAATGATAAAAAATCAATTTCTTTCTTACTTCCAGGAACCCCACGCCCTTCGCTACGTACGTTCCTGTCTGATGGCATTCTTCTCACTTTCTCCTACCCTGAATCGAATGGCGCCGTGCGTTCGTCCTTCTTCCTCGTTCCCGCGCAGTCTCCACACTGAAAGCCTCGTCGTTTCTCCCTCTCTGTGGTCCTACCTGGCTTCCCTCTCCCGGTCGGTGGTCGATGGAGGGGCGCGGGTGAACGCGGTCGGACGACAGTCCTTCCGCGGATTGCGGATATTGTGTCGGGAAGCCTCGTGGTACGGTGTCCTTGTTATACCCGTGTTCCTGCGACGCGCAGAGTGGAAGGCGAGTGGCATCCAGTTTTTCCAACTCGCGATAAACCAACTCGTGTCTTTTCGTCGGGACCTCGAACCTTCTGGAGGACTGGAGAATCGTTTCACGGTCGCCGTCTCCTTGGTGCTACTCGTAGTTCGTTCTCGCGTTCTCTTCCTCTCCGTACTTCCGACGTACGTACTTCGTGACACCGGTTGTAAGGTTATGTTCACTCCTGTCACATCCGCGTGCCGCTTCGTGCGACCGTACTTTTCTTTAGTGAGTCTGTCGCGAGATACAGTGTCACATCATCGTTTTACGTAGTGTTTATCGTCGTATATCGTTCGCGAGTGCACGTCAGAGAAGTTTGTGACTTTGAGGGACACGTTTGGTCTCGAAGGAGGCGATTCACGAATGACGCTACCACGCCTGGAGTCTTTCTGCATTTCGGTAAGTGAATATTTAAAGCTTAATTTTGTTAAGGACGCTCCTCGTGGCGTCCAATGCTCGCGTGCCTAGACGCTGCGTATTTCGACACTCTTTCTCTTTCTCTCTCATCGGTGTTTCCCTCCTCCAGACGCGGGGAGATCGCTTCGAAAGATTTTTTTGCGTGCATGGTATTAACACGTTGACTGCCACGCGAATTTACATATTTCGTTGTAAAAGTCGCAATAGATTGAAATATAGTACACCATAACGTTTAATTTTTGTAGAATATTTTGTTCTATTTGTACGCCTTTTTCTGGCAACGCTATCGAAGTAATTCGCATTTGTAAAAATCTGTTCTCTTATCTTAATTGTCCTATAAAATGTAACAACATGGGTCACCGGCGACGACCGTGACGATCAACGTGTTAGTGTATCGATGTTTCTATGTTTTTATTCTATCGCGAGATATTTGGATTCTAATTCGATTCGAACAGTACCAAGTAACATTGTGTTGACTCGTGTAAAATATCAACTTTAATCACGTAAATTGTGTTTTCCTTGACACGACGTTTGGTTAAACTAATTTCTAAATGAACGTATGTATATAACGTCTCTGAATAACATTAATTAATTCTACTATTTTCAGATTTATAAACGACATCGCGTTAGAATTTAAAATTGCTCACTCAGCTTATTTATTTATTAGATGAAAATTACATGGAGACGTTAAATGTTTGAAAAAATTGAAATCAGTTTTAATCTTTGAATTTTTGACATGGTCATTTTTCGTATTTAATATTTCTATATTTCTATATCCACTGCATGCGTAGTGCATTCGTTGCACGTGCAATACAGTAAATTTCTTTTTTTATTTACAACAAAGCGAATAGTGCGAGCCCATTACGTCGAAACTCCATAGAAATAACATTTCACATACTCCGATCCAATAAATCCAATTACATAAAATATCTCTCTAATAACTTATATTATATAAGTTCTATTTATTTTAACCAAACTTTTATTTCCATTATAAAGCTCCATCATTCCGTACAAATCTTTTTCTTTGATCTAAAACATGAAAATTAGAGACTACCATAAACGAACGATTTGGTGCCTGCTGAGTGGTAAAATGCACAAGTATAATAACAGTCATCGACGCAGTTCAGTTACAAAGACTTGATTGAAATTCCATTCGTATTTGTTCGCGCAGCTAAAGCGCGTTTAGCGTATTACATTTCTCAATAATATTCGAGTAGAAGATTGGAAAAGACGTGGCTTCTTGTCGTCGCGAGAACAGGGTGTGAACTGCCAGGTGAATTAGAGCGGACGATAAGCAGAGACAGAGGATTGCCGTGGAGACGATGGCGAGGAAAAGCGGAAGTTCATCTCCGGTCTAACAGAGGGATGTGTAACGAAGTCAATCATCTTTGCTTGCTCGCTTGGCCCGGTCTCCTCGAGGCTTTGCTATTAATTAACTTTTCTGACAAGTTATTAGCGCGACGAGATCAAAGACGCCACGGTATTACTTCGTTCCATAGCGTCGTCGTCTTTCCTTCTTTTTTTCTATTCGTCTCTCACTTTCGCCCCGCCTAAATCGTCGAACCGTGGCGTGTAATTAAGACGGCCATCGCGTGCCTAGGTGTACGCGTTAATTATCTTGTTTATACAGCTTCGTTGGGAAACTGCGATAGCGAAGAATCGGAGCCAGCGTTAGAACAACCCACGCCCACTACCATGCGTGCCGAGAATTTTACGATACACCTGTAATCATGCGATAGCTACTCGTATTTAACGAGTGGAACGATACCAGTGCGTTTTCAATTTAAACTAACGGCGTAGATTCACGGCCAACTGCGAGGTTTACCGAATCAACGCCCGCGGGATCTTCCTTTTAGTAATTAGCGCAATAATGAAATAAGAAGGCTTATAGCGCGCTCCAGTTTGAAACTTAAATACGAGGATTCGTTCTCAGCAATCGTTCTCGCAGTCTCATTAGTCTCAGAAGGGTTAATAGAATATACATCAAGTTATCATTGCCCTATAATTTCAAACTATGATACAAATTAGGAAAACGATGCAGGCATTTAAATGAAAAATATACCAACTCCAGTGTTCCAACTAATTGAATAATTTTATTAAATTATCTACTCTTGATTCTTCTTGGCTGTACACAAATTTACAATTCTATGAGAACCTTGCGATACCGTTCTGGCGTGAACGAACGAAACGTCGACTCCTTGGAATTTCTCCACTTGGTGTTTTACTCTTTCTCTCGAGGAAATTCAACGATTTTGTCATTTTTTTTTTTTTTGCGCGCTAAGATTCAGCAAGGGATGAAAGAGTCTGTCTAATCTCTGGTTAAGCAGCTTACGAGGAAGAACGACTACGCGCGCATATGGTCGTCGTGGAGCCTGTTCCCGGTCGTCTTTGTGCGCCAGGGAATCGTTGCAGTCGCTTCTTTTGTCGAAAGTTCCCCGCTGGCTGTGACCACCTGCGCCCATCTCGATACCTGTTTCGGTGCATACGTCCTGCACGC